AGGATTCCCTTGCTTGAAAGCTAGTCAAATCTGACTCCAGGGGGCAATGCTCATCTCCGTTTGCAAGCCGAAGAGCCAGCGCTTTCCAAAGACTTCTCCGTGGTCATGTGACCAGCATGACTAAATGCCGAGGCACACAGAACGCTGTTACCTTCCCACCAAAGCGGTACCTATTTATCTACTTGCAATTTCTTGCTTTCGAACTGCTAGGTTGGCAGGAGCTGGGGCCAGAGACAGGAGCTCACTCCGTCACACGGCACTCGGGTCTCGAACTGCCGAGCTACTGACCTTCCGGTCTGCAGCTCAGCATCTTAACCTCTGAGCCACCGCAGCCCCTTCTCAGCATAAATAGGATAATTTAACTTAGTGATGTCACAACGGTTAAGAAACCCTGAGCATAAACAACAGTTTTAACACAAGAGCAGACCACTCTGGGGCTCTAGTTTAAAAGGAAAGAGACCAAACATGACCAAAATCAGATTACACCACATGAGGGCAGCCAAGGCCATTGTCTAGTGACCCTGTCATTACCCCAAGGCACTGAAATCTTGGAGGGCAGTGTGCAAGATGCTCACCAGTGGCTTCACCACTAGAACAAGCTGCTTCCTCACATGCACACACCCTCCCAGAAGAGTGAACAGAGCACAGTTCTTCCACATTACTTTGAATGTCATCACTGCCAGCAAGGATAAAATAAGTGCCAAAGAAAGAAAAGGGGGGGAAAGTGATATTCTGAATGCACCTCTCCAAACACAGAATGTGGGACTGCTCCAAAGGCAATTCATAGGCAATCTCCCATTACTGGAGGAGGCATAGATCAGGCAACTCTGGCTGGGGTACCCAGGCAGACGCCCCATAATCCATATGGCCTTGAGCAGGGAAGTTCTCCACTCGAGAATGGAGCTCACCACACTTCTCAGGACTACAGGGGGGAAAATAGCGGTAAGGAACTTCCAATGGGAGCACCTGTCCTCATGACAAATATAATGATGAAGGGAACTTTAACTCTTGAAAGTTTATACCCCGAAAATCACGTTGGTCTCTAAGGTGTTAACGGATTTGAATCTTGACCCATGCTGTTGCCCTCAGCAACCAATATTCAGAGGCATCATGCAACCTCTGAGCGTGTCTAGCCTTCCTGGCTGATAGTCACAGATGGGTTCCCCGAATATGGCTAAACTACTTCTAAAGTCACCTCAGCTAGAGGCTGACTTTATTCTAGTCGCAGTGAATCCCATCATCTGATTACAGTGACACCCCCTTAAACACTGCAGCTACATCCCGGAAAATAAAAGCACTAAATGAAAGGGTTCTATAAGACAACGCTGAATCTAACAGGAGTGTGTTTCACAGTATCGCCATTTTGTTACCTGACGTAGGAGGTGGCATCTACCAAATGACTGCTTTTATTAGAGAAGAGAGAAGAGATTGGATTTATACCCCGCCCTTCACTACACAAAGGAGTCTCAGAGTAGCTTACAAACTCCTTTCCCTTCCCCTCCCCACAACAGACACCCTGTGAGGTGGGTGGGGCTGAGAGAGCTCTGAGAGAACTGCCCTTGAGAGAACAGCTGTGCCCGAACTATGGCTTGCCCAAGGTCATCCAGCAGGTGCAAGCGGAGGAGTGGGGAATCAAACCCGGTTCTCCCAGACTAGAATCCGTGCACTTAACCACTACCCCAAACTGGCTCTGTGCTGGAGCCTCCTGGGGTTGCCACCTCCCATCCTGAGTCTTCATATTGGCAAAGCTTCAGCCACATTCAGTCAGCCTCACAGCTCCAACTGAATCCCCATTCCACAGCCACCTGCGGCAATGCCACACCGCTTTTGGTTCAGTCATATTTACTTCTGGCTTGGCTAATTATGTCATGGAGTCACCTCTCAGCCTTCTTCCCCAAATTAAAAACAAACAAAAAACCCTACACCCTGGACAAAGAGTGCTATAACCAAGAAGCTTTATGGGAGGTTATCAGTACACTTTGAGTGAAATGGTACTTCCTTTTGTTTTGGCATGGATGGCCCAGGCTAACCCAACCTCATCAGATCTCAGAAGATAGCTAGGCTTGGCCCTGGTTAGTCCTTGGATGGAAGGAGGGGTCATTTCGAAGAAAAAGAGGTGCATGAGCTCATTAGCATAACTCATTAGCATATGCCACACCACCTGACATCACCAGAAGTCTGTTAGAAGTCAGCACCCACCACTCAGGCTCCACTGGACTGTTTTGGATTGCTAGCTATTGTGGGGATCTGTCCTCGCAGAGGAGGGAGAGCTTGTACCTGAATAAAACTTGGTCTTAAAGGTGCCACTGGACTGTTTTGGACCGGGGGGGTGGGGGGAGCTCTGCAACTTACCTGGCTGCTTCTTGCTCTGACTGAGGGCTGCTGGGAGCAGGGGGTGGGGCTTGTTGCATGTGCCCGCCCCCTGGGCTCTTTACTGCTGGAGCTCCGCTCCTGTGCGCTCCTGCAGGAAATGACCCCTGGATGGAAGACCACCAAGGAAGTCCAGGGTTGCTGCACAGAGGTGGGCAATGGCAAACCACCTCTGTTCATCTCTTGCCCTGAAAACCCTTTGGGGGTTACCTGACTACAACTTGATGACACTTCCTACTACCAGCTCATACTATGAGAACATCGTGGTGGTGAAAGTGCAGTCAAGTCACAGCCAACATATAGCAACCAGGTTGGCCCTGGTTAGTCCTTGGACAGGAAGCCACCAAGGAAATCTAGGACTGTTGCGGCGGGGAGGCGGGCAGTGGCAAACCACCTCTGATTGTCTCTTTGTCTTGAAAGTCAGCCGCAACTTCCCACTCCTACTTCCTTTTGCCCGTCCTGAATATGCTGCCTATCAACTACACTGGGTTCCTGTGAATCCCAGTATTAAGGGAAGGGGTTAAAGAAAAGGGTTCACTTTTCTGCGTAATGATTAATTTCTATAACCCTCTCTCATGGGAGGGGTGGGGCCTGTGACTGCGTACGGGAGCATCTGCTCTGCGTGCAGAAGGTCCCAGGCTCCATCCCCCGCACCTCCAAATTAAAGGATCAATGGGGGGGGGGGGGTGATGCAGCACACTTCCATCTGAGAACCTGAAGACCTGCTGCCTCTCAAAGTATACAATACTGAGTCTGATAAACCGAGAATATGACTCAGTATAATGCAGGTTCGCATACAGTGCTCCCTCTAAGCTGAGCTAGTGCGAGCTAGCTCAGTCTTTTAGCCTCCGGCTCACACATTTTTTGCCTTAGCTCAGGAAGGAATGGCTGCAGAGCAGACTAACTTATGCAGCAGCCAAATCGCTCACTCCCAACTTTAATGCCAGTAGCTCACAAGACTCCACAGCTTGGAGGGAGCATTATCATACCTCTTTTTTTCTAATATAAAAGCCACAAACAGCTCAGCCTTTCATAATTAAGGAAAAGCACTGATGATCTTGGTGGCCCTGTTCTGCACCCTCCCACCTCTACAATACCCTATGAGAGGCCTCCTGTCCTTGATACCTTGCCTAAAAATCCCAAGCATTAAATTTATTGCCCCTTCCCCCCTGCCCCCCACTGCTGAACCTTTTCACCATGACACCAACATCTCTTTCCCAGTCAGTCACTGCCAGTTCAGATGCCCGTCAGTGTCTTCCTGGGCTTCTTTGGCCCCAATGTATATTAACTGACACTGAACCACATTTGCTACAATGCTGCCCGCTCATCCAATTTTGAGACATCTCTATTTAGTACTCATGAATTCATGAATCTGCCTTCGGTCCATCACAGTCACTGCTGTCTACTTAAGACTGGCAGCAGCTCTCCGGGGTCTCAGGCAAAAGTCTTTCACATCACCTCCTGCCAGACCTTTTCACTGGAAATGCTGGGGATTGAACCTGGGACTTCCTGCATGTCAAGCCGAGGCTCTAACCACTGAGCCACAGCCCCTTCCGTTCTTCACAATCAGCTTTGGTTTTACCCCATTCATTTGGTGTCATCTACAAATCTGGCCACCCCTCCCCAGTCCAAGACGATTTATGAACAAGTTAAAGAGCATCAGTCCCAAAAGAGATCCCCGTGGGGACCCTGCTCCTTACTCCCCACCACTGCCAGAATGTTCACCAAATCGGCCAAGAGGAAATTCCTCAGCTGACACCAGACGTTAAAATGGAGAGCTGCAGCTACAGTGAAAGGCTGTTATGCACACACATGGATGACTGGCTGAACACAAAGGACAGAGAACCTTCACTATAACTACAGATGCGAAAGGAAAGGGGGAATTTGCAGGGGGAAAGGCAGGGGAAAGCGGCTCCTTCCACATTCAGACAGGCCACCCAGCACGATAAGGAGAGGATTCAAAATTCTTCAGAGCAGGCAGGAATCGGATCAAATCCTGCACCCGCCTGGAGATCAGCAGTCCAGGCACATTCGCAGCATACATGTGAAGCTGACAACAGACCTGAAGGAAAGCATCCTTTTCCCCTTGAGTGGAGACCTGATGTGCAGAAATGGGCACTCGTGGCTTTCCATGGCATGGAGATAAATATTAAACCAGGATATTTCTATGCTGCCTCTTCAGAGTCCTGTCAGTAACGTTACTTGGCATATAATATCCCATTCACTTCTAATAAAGGAAGAAGGTATTTTTCTCCAGGCTCGCTAGGAACCCTAAATGCATACTGTACACACACACACAAACCCTCAGCACAGTAACGCCTACAATTCTCATCACGAATGTAAACTTCAATTGAAAAACAAAACCCCAGTCGCACAACCAGGCAAGAAATTCACTTTGAGGCGTTTTCCTTTTGACAATGGGAAAGATACGCTTGGCTTGTACAACTAGATTGGCTCTGTATGTGTGTTGCTGTTGTTTTTAAATTAAAGTTGGCGTTCCTGCTAAGAACGGTAGGCATCAACGTGCAGATGCATGCTGCGAATGGGCCTGGTGTGCGGAACCCGGCACGTTAACCGGAAACCTGCAGCATCAGCTATGCTACGATCTTCCACACAGCTGACACTCCTACCTTCCAGAGCCAGACTGCGAGAAACGCGGCTGCCAGGGGGGGGGAAGCCCTCTTCGGCTAACGATCGCGCCCAACCATCTCTCACAGCTTCACCCTCAGGAGCTGGAACATGCACGATCCTTTGCATGAGAAATTATTGGTGTCCGACGCTGAAAGTTCCCAATGCGGCTTTCGTGCATGAGAGAGACACTCGATCCGGTCTCCCACTTGCCCATCATATCACCTTTCCGAGTTTATCCGGGGCGCGGATGGGATTAGATTGACGACCCGCCGCCGAAGAAGGCTTGCTGCCGCTCACTTCGTGGCCGGTATGCCCTCTATGCTGCAATGCCTGCCGGGAACCTGCAAAAAAATGCCCAAATTGCCTTCCCTCCTTTCTTATTGGCTTGTTTATGCGAGTCTTGCTATTGGCCAGATTGAGATCGGTAGGTGGAGCTGCCTCGTCTACGTTAGCCTGGCAGCACGAGGCGGGGAAGAGTGTGGAGTCATCTGAGGAAAGACGCGAGCAGAGTTTTTAGGCAGGCGGAGAGATGTTGACGTTGTTCACAAGTAAGCTCTGCTATGATGAATGGGGATGTGCATCTAAGTGTTCACTAAAGATTCGTGAGGATTTGCTTCTAAGAATTAAAAGGAAAAGTATGCTTTCTTGCAAAGGCGGCTTAGGTGGGCACAGTAGGCACAGTGAGTAGGGCCCACAATACTATTTGGGGCTCACGAGCGTCTTTGGATTTCTTTTAAAATCAGAAGGGGGGGGGGATCGAACATTTATTCATTCATCCATGCCCCGTAAGCGGGCTCAGGGCGACTTACAACATGTCATAAAACCATAAACGATTCCATACAACAGTAATGCATTAAAACATGAGTTAAAACAAGATTAAAATTTAAGTAAGAAATTTAGAATGTACCTAAACCTTTATTTATTTATTTATTTTATTTTAGAATGTACCTAAACCTAATGGCGAGGAGCTGCGGTGGCTCAAGTGGTTAAGACGCTGAACTGCAGGCTGTGGAAGGTCAGTAGTTCAGCAGTTCGAGACCCAAGAAATTGCAAGTAGATAAATAGGTACCACTTCAGTGGGAAGGTAACAGCGTTCCGTGCGCCTTGGTGTTTAGTCATGCTGGCCACATGACCACGGAAACGTCTTCGGACAGCGCTGGCTCTTCGGCTTTGAAACGGAGATGAGCACCGCAACCCTAGAGTCGGATTCGACTGGCTTTCGAGCAAGGGAATCTTTACCTTTTTTAAACCTAATGGCAGCTAGGCGGTTAGTTCCGTTCCTGTGTGGCCTGAGCTCATGCCAGGAGGGGTGGTGGATCACTCTGATGGAATTAACTCAACCACACCTGGCACCCGTGGTGCGCTTGAAGGAGGGGAGGCCGATGTTATTTGATGTCCACCGCCTCAGCCAAAGGCCTGGTGGAACAGCTCCATCTTACAGGCCCTGTGGTCAAAGAAAAGGTTTTAATTTTTTTCCTCGCATCAGGGAAAGAAGGAAGTGCTTAGGGCCTACGAAGAGCTATTTAAATTTTGCGTAAACCAGGAAGAAAACCAAAATATTGAAGCATTTAAAGTTGTATCAAAAATAAATTTTAATATTGACATTATTGTGGTGGGAGGGGCACACAAAGGGGTACGTTGTGCCCATGAAGCCGGTTGGTGGCAGGGCAGTAGGGTCTGGCCATGCCTGGCAGTGGGGGGGATGCCTGCCCTCTAACCGGGTGGGGGTGTGTGCAACCTTAATAATACTTCAACTGTGTTGGTATAAAGATTAATATAATCCATCCTGGATTATATACATCTTTATACCAACACAATTGTAAAATATATTTTTAAATATTTTTATGGGGGGTGGGGCCCACGAAGGCAAAAGTGCCTAGGGCTCACAAATGCGGTCCTGTTTATTGCATCTGATGAAGTGAGACAGAATTGAGGAAAGTTTATGCTGGAATAAGCGCCAACTCCAGGTTCAGAAATACCTGTAGATTTGAGGGTGGAGCCTGGGAGAGGGGAGGGACTGTGCTAGGGTATAATGCCATGCAGTCATTTTCTCCAGGAGAAGTGGAATAAATGTTTTAAATAAATAACAGATAAGTGATTGACGTAGTCTGGAGACCGGTTGTAATTTTGGGAGATTTCTGACACCCACCTGGAGGTTGGCAACCCTGGATTAAGGGGCAACTAGCCTCCCGTTTCATTTCACTTCTAAGGAAGCATGCTTGTTGGCTACAGCTCTCCTGAATGACTTGTCTTCAGTGGCAGGCAGAGCAAAATGAGCTTCATTCTGGGCTCCCGGGGTTGCCAGCCTCCAGATGGGGCCTGG